TGGATTTTTTGGGGGGAAAAAAGTCAAAAGTTCCTAATGGTTTTTGTTTTTTAAATTAAAAAAAAAAAAAAAAAAAAAAAAAAAAATGGAGAGATGGATTTGCCATGTAAATTTGGGATCTATAATGCAGCGTTTAATTTACTTCGGACGTTGGAACACACCTGAGATGACAACGTTTCAATTAACATAACAGCAGAAGCATGGATCTCAACATGGCAAGACCCAATAAGAGATTGTTTGCAATATCTCAGACTCTGAAGATTTCACCAGCAGAGTAATACATTCACTGGGATACTGTAATACATACAAATTTTATTTCCATTGACATTACCAACCTTGCACTATAAATACACATATATTAACTTTCCACACATTCTGTTTGTGCTGAGCATATTATTCATTTGAGGGAGAAAAGTACATCTTTTTCTTTTAAAGCTCACAGCAGAACCCATGAAGATATTATCCAAATGTTTTCTTCTGGAACCGAACAGAAATAATGATGAAAAAATGACTTGTGTTGGGGTAAAAAAAAATGGCTGATGTCTCCATGCAAAGTTAGCACGGTAACAAAAACCCCTCTAGCTACAGCCTACAAAGAAAGTATCAGCTAGAGCAGAGATAAAACATTTACATGCATCATTACTGTGATCAGTTGGGGGAAAATACTCTGCAAATGGTTCATGAGAAAAAAAAAAAAGAGGAATGCTTTGTTTAAAAATAATTGTGCTTATCATATGCAAGCATTCACATGTGTAGAAGATGCTGATAGCCTGGCTAACTCCTTGAGTTCACGGCATCAATGTAATGCAGAAATGAGAAGGATTCAATTATATTCAACTTGTACACATTTTTTGAGACTTTTTGTATCGTCTCTTTAACAAAACAAAAAAAAAAAAACTCAATGTCCAGACATGATCAAGATTGAAAACACATCATTATTTTAAATCACTTTACAAGACGCAGCAGAAAAGATGTGGAAAATAAATGAATAAATCCAATTGCTACTCCTCTAGGTTGCAAGAAGCTCCTCTAAAACCAGGACTTTTCTGAGTTTGCTGTTCAGAACCATATACAGGGGGAAAGACATTAGTAGTTGGTGGTGTCCATCAATCGAGCGTCATAAGGTCATGTTCAGGCAATTTAAAGTCGATCACTTTACACATAGATTATTCCCAAGTGAAAAACTTTTTTCTAGTCTTCCCAGATTTAGAATAATGAGTAATGTCATGTAAATCTCAGATTAAGTTCTTGCATTTTCTCTAAGACTACAAAAGCTTGTTTTTGACTTGGGTTAGGGTTAGCATCTCTGGAAATGATGTCGTTGGGATGCCTATCTGGGAAACCTACATGAGCTGAAGTAACATTGTAAAAATAGTTTCATCCACAATGAATTAACACTTAAAACAATTACATTGAGGTATTGCAGCTACAGGTGGCTTTTTTTCCCCATTTTGACTTAATCTTTGTTTTAATAAATATTAACAGTGTGACATTTTTTTTATTTTTTTTTATTTTGCTAACTTCTGCCTCTTGAGAAAATACAAGAATAAATCTATAAACCAGATCAGAAAGTCCCACATTATGACCTAAAGTTTCTCAGCTTTTGATACAAAAGCGGTGTCAGGCTTCACGTTGTGACAAAAGCCAACCTTACCTATATTGTGGTGTATTGTGCCATATGGTCCCTCAGAAAATCCTCCAGGCCACACATTCACTCTCAGAGAGTGGGAGGAACACTCGGCCCTACAGAAAGGAGGTAAAAGAAAATGGCGCTCAAAGTCCACGTCCCACACATTCGCTTTTGCATGAACATGTCTGTGGGAAAGGTGTTGAAAATGAAAAGGTCAAGTGCCGTTCCTTAGCAGGTGAATACTAAATCAGCCTTTATGCATTAACAAATCACTTGATGTTTTACACATTTGACCTTTGTGACTGTTCATAATTCTTTCTTTCTGACACAGTTAGAAAACTGAGCTGTCTCCTCCACATCCTAAACAAAACAGGCGTGATTATACGTCTCCGCCGAGGGCAAATCTCACCGCTAAGCTACAAAACCCTTTAAAAATTCAGACGGCAGAGCTATGATTTGGAGTGAATTATGTGCTTCTCAAACAAAAGCAGGGTGAAAGGAGAGAAAGAGGGGGATAATATTGCTTTAAGGAAAAATTATTGAAATTTTGCACAGCGGGGTGTTTATGCTGGGCTTTGGCTCCCAAGTGACATTATAATCTCTGCGATGACTTGACGAGCGTTATTTGTCTCTTTGTTCTCAGATTTTTTGTGGCCAGTCATCCCTACAAGCTGTTTTCCTTTCTAAACACGCAGCAGGGGCGCTGCATTACGTGTTTGCATTGGGAGATGTGTGTGGGAGTCAGAATGTGGGTGCAGACGCATGCATGTCAGCGAGGACATCTGAGTCCCGCTTCATGTGTGAGGAACCATTAATGACTCGGCTCACAAAGATGGTGTACTTATGATACGTTTATCTGCAGAAGCTAGCAGAGGAAACACGCGCTCCTTCGGTTTTGTTCTTTGGCTGCAACGATGATTATTTCCTCATGGGGCTCATGAGGTCCGGTTTCACTGAACCACATGATCCAGCCATTTCTATCGATGCTGACACCCGAACCAATCGCGTTCATAGACATCCAGACGCTCGCATTATTCTGCCCCTTGTGTCGCTTTCCAGTTCATCGGTTCGGTGTTCACCCTCAATTTTGCCCTTATGGTCCAGCACCAGGATGTCAGCCTGATGGGTGAAAACCTTGGAAGAACGTCACCATACAGGCACCCCTGACTGGACTTCACCTTCCACTTGTTTTCAAATCAAACTAAAAGGCCAAAATGACCAAGCTATATCAATCAATCCATAATTGAGGTATACAAAAAAAACCCCACCAAAAAACACAATGGATTAATAAGTAAAAACCTAACTATTTAAAAGATGTAAGAACAAACAATTTAAGCATATATAAATACTTAAAAAATAAATTAAAGTTAAGCAGATAATTTCATAGCTAAGTCAGAAACATAACGGTAAAAAAAAGCCTAAAAATCCCCAAATGGAATAACAAAACAAAGAGCTAGTTAGTAAAGCAACTAGCAAAACGATAAAATGAATAGATGAATAAAATAATAGTCAATCAGAATTGACTGATGGATAGAAAAATACACAAGCAAACAGATATTCATTTCACATAATATAACAGTACATGCATGAAAGCAAATCTTTAATTCTGGAAAATTTTAATGAATTTATAAACTTAAAATGTAATATATCAACAATATTTTGAGAGCAAATTTTATGTTGAAGCGTTTTATATTTAATGTTTAAATATTAATGTTTTCTTATTATGATTAAATGTCCTGCTGAGCTCATCTTACAGAAACGCTTTCATGACTGGAAAACAAACCTGAACTTTCTCTCAATCTACTCTTGTGTAGGACAAAATTAAGTTTGAAAGTCCAAGTTAGTCATTTCGACATAAACATCTATGATGAAACATTAGCACCTCGCAAGAATGGATAAGAATATATAAATACCATAACTGCAGGTCTCAGTAGTAAAACAAGTTATCTAAATGTAAATCTGCCACTTTAGCCTTTGTGTACAACAGACTCAAAGATGCAGATCAGCAATATGTTCAGTCATAGGATCAGCAACAGTGATGTATTTAACAAATTACAACATTATGACACCTTTCCTTAAAAATATGTGTAAACGTTATTCTAATTTAAATATATAAACTGCAATGATTGAGGAAGGTGATGTGTTTAATGCTGATTATTTTAAATCCCCCTTTTTTATGGAGTTGTCATAATCCTCTACAGATTAACAGTCACAGATTGCAAACAACACATTATCATTCCCTGTCTTCATTGAGATTCCATTTAAAGCTGCTGCTTTGCGCATTAACCTGCTGCGATGCACATTCAGGCTTGCAAAATGAGTGTGGGAATTGAGACTTTCAAAGACGCCAGGAGAGCACAGTTTTATTACAACACAACAAGACTATTAATCACATTCGCAATGCATTTAAAATCTGTTCGCTCCTGTCGGGCACCGACGTTTTGATTTCGCAGAGTTTAATTTACAGATATGAACCTGTTGTCCAGGCTACAATTTGCAGCTCGTAAACCTGAAAGGTTCAGAGGGGCCAGAAGAGAATGATGGTCATTGGCTAAGGATGCACTACAATGTATCCTTAGTTCATCCTTAGCACAGAGAAACTTTCACACAGGCTTTGTGTGAAAGCCTGTGTGAAAGTTGAAAGATGGTTGAGCCACTTTAGAGTTGCAAAGGAGGCAAGCTGTTCCTATAATGAAATGAAAAATATTATTTCTTATATTTGTGTCAACTTCTATATTTTAGAAATGGTTGTGTCCCAGAACAATAAACAACATGTAACTTCATAAATTACAGAAGCATTAAGTTCATTTTAAAACATGAGAGTCACGTATTACTCAGATTCTTTTCAGACAATGATGTATGCCAAGCATTACTTCTATGAAGCTTGATGGATTTTGTTTAAATCTCAAGAAGAGTTCTGCTTGTTTTGTGCATATTCACTGTTTAAAATAGGTTTCACTGATTAAGTTGAATGATGGAAATAAACGTCCGGATAATATTCTAATATATTATGAAATATATTATTTAGAGGGTAGCCTGAGGGAACCCTCTAACTTTTCAGAACATAACATGAAAGTTTCAGGAACATTTTAGGACCCATTACAACTTGCATCATATACAGTCTAGCACCTGAGTGTCCAGTAAATTTTGGAAAGCGACTTGATAAAAGTACGAAGTAATTGACGTAAAGTCTTCTGTAAGCTCAAAGAAAGGAACTGGTAAAATCTAGGAAAATAGCAAGTAAGTACCATAAAAGTTCTGTAAAACACCAAGAAAGCTACCTGTAAGACTCCAGATACATCACTTACAGTACGACCAAGTCCTTAAAATATACATGGTAGGGTTACAAAAGGTAAGCAATATTGTTTGTAGCAAAGCATGGTTGTTAACTTACCAACTTCAGACCCATCTTGACTTTTTTATATTTTTTATTTTCAAAAAAGCAACTGATGACAAATCTAGTGGCTTCCTTTGTTATTCAAGACTTTGGCGTAATTTGAAGCAAAAAAAAACAAAACAAAAAAAAAAAAAAACAAAGCAAAAAGTATGGTTAACACTTGCTAGATTTAACAGGAATGAAATATTTATAAATTCTTTGTTTTTGGAGACAGTGTCAATGTTTGAGGCCGAACAAAACATGGGTTTAAATGACAAAACCAGGTTTCTTCCCAGCCGCAAAAATATCTTCCAACTGCGCCTCCTGTGGAGAAGCGTAATCACATTTTCCACAAGGGTGGCTGTAGTGCCCGGGAGAAAAGGCTTTATCGAATCCTCAGACGTTGCCATTACGCAGTCCGTGTGGTTTTCACTCCATATCTGTGACCACTCATCCAGCCAGTGCCATTTAAAAAGCATCAAAGCTGGGGAACTTGTTATTACATAGAAAAGAGCTTGAGATAACATACACAGGGAGGAATTACAAGGCAGCTGAGGGACAACTCTGGATTTGTAGTTAGATGCTATTCAGAAAAGTATTTAATACTAATGCTGAAACAAGAATTTAACATAATTGAGTTTATTTTGTAAGAATTCTTCCTCCGAAGCAGTTCTGAGCAACATCACCAAGAGTTGCATGGATGAACTAATTTTGATGGATTTTACAATTCTAGGACTACTAAAAAATATATTTGCAGGCTTCGGGGATTGCTAAATTCATAGCTCATCCTTTTAAAAAATTGTTGGATTAGAATATTTATGTAAAGTTGTAAGGTTAAAAAATTTAAACTGCACCATTAAATGTATCGCTCTTTTTGTGAACAGTTAATCTTTGTCTAAAAAGACAAGAAAGAGTTTGATTTCTTTCTTTTTTTTACTCTGTTTTATCAAGTTTTGAATGATGCCAGATAGAGAATGAGAAGAAATAATAAAATGTAATATTGGAGATTAACTAAATCACAACAAGTAAAAGTTTTTTTTTTTTTTTTTTTTTTTTTTAAACGGGGTACATTTTAATCCCAGTCCAAAATCCCATTAAGACTTTTGGACTCTCCATCCAGTCTGTCTGAGCTTTTGAAGTATTTTGAAGCTGGAATGGGCAAAAATATCTGTCTCAAGATGTTCGAATCTGAAGGAGACTCATGAAGAGTCATGACTAGACTAACAGCTGTCAAGAGGTAGCTGCATAGTACGACTCGGGGGCACTTATTTCAAATATACATACAAAAATTTGAACAATATCTGTCCACTTCCTTCGACTTTACAATTTCACACTGCTGTGCTGTACTGGTCCTCACATAAACTACCAGTAAAATAAATTGAATGTTGTGGTTTAATGTGTAAAAGTATAAGTACCTCTGAAAGGCACTGAGCCTTCTGACCTCAAAAGCGCCATAAAATGAAACAAGCTCAACATAACTTGTTTACCATTTGTCCCATAGCTGTTATTGTTCCTCTGCTGCAGCTCCCTCTCCGAAAAACCAAGCAAAAAAAACAAAAACAAAAAAAAACAAACAAACAACAAAAAAAACAGGCTTTTCTCTTGCCTGAATGGCAGAACAAACTATGTCACTCCTGACGCCTCGGCTTGGACGAGTACGAGCGTTAACTTCAGCTTGGATGGCACAGACGTGCGGGCCATCTGGAGTCCTTTCTCCCCTGCGAGGTTGGTGGACATGTGGGCTA